TGAGAAGGGGAGGACAGAGGATGAGATGGTTGGACCGTGTCACCGAAGCGACCATCATGAATTTGACCGAACTCCAGGAGGCAGTGGAAGACAGGAGGGCCTGGCATGCTGTGGTCCATGGGGTCATGAAGAATCAGACATGACTTAACGACTAAACAACAACAACAAAAATGAAGTGCACTGACAGAAAATTGCACCAATATATTAGCAAACATGTCTCTCAGTATGTTCTTTTTTTCACCCAGCTTGAGCACAGGGGAAAGGCAAAGAGAAACAAAGGCATGTAGCAACATGAGACAAAAACACCCTAAATGGCCCTAAAGAATGGAAAACATTTGGGGGAGCATGACCATAGTGGTTAAGGGCAGAGATGCATCATCATCATCACCATCTTCAAGCTTCTTTTACACCTCACAAGGCTGTCAGGCCACATATGAACATACCCTGTTTACCAAAAATAAGACCTAACCTGAAAATAAGCTCTAGTAGGATTTTTCAGGATGCTCATAATATAAGCCGTAACCCAAAAATAAGCCCCAGTTAAGTGAAACCCCTCCCTCCACCACTGTGCAGCAACCAGAAGATGACATGACTATATCTGAATAAATGTAGACTGTTGTACATGAAAAAATAAAATAAAACATCCCCTGAAAATAACCCCTAATGTATTTTTGGAGCAAAAATTAATATAAGACCCTGTCTTATGTTCAGGGAAACACAGTAGCTGTATGAACACACAGTCTTACACACACAAATTTTAGTATACAGGATTGGGAAATGTAAACCTTCTTTCCCTGCCTGCTAAAATTGAATTATTGCTGGATGGGGTAAAATCCAGTCCCACCTTGCAGCCAGCTGCTATAAGAAGCTCCTTGGGAGAAGCAACAAATCCTCAGCTGTTAGAAATCAGCTGATGGTGATCATACAAGCTCTTCTGATCTTCCCTAGTTTGAAAGTGAGTTTGCTTTGTTCTGAGATTGATCATCAGCAGGTGAACAAAGGCTTGTATGCTGATGAATTTCCATCTTCAATTGACACACTATCTGTTTTGATCTTCAGAAGTAAGGGATACTGTTTCATTCCCCCATAAGTCCAGCTGAGCATTGGGTGCCACACCTCCATCATCAAGAGCTATGTTTGCTTGCTTGCTTGCTTGCTTGTTTCTCTACCACCAATCTGGCAACTCTGGGCAGAGTACATAATACAATCAAATAAAATAGAAAGACAAACAATACAAAGCAGACAGTAAAATAAAATAATTATACAATTTCCAAAAACAATATCAATAGAACATTAAACTAAAATAGTGGAAACACCAAAGTTGCTGCACGTGGGACCAGACTGATGCTTGTACATAGACTCTTGCTCTATTGAGCTGGTAGGGTGTGGCCTGTTTCGCAGTCCCATGCTGTGTGCAGGAGTGCAACTGAAAGGGCAAAGGGCTTCTGAATAAAAGAATTGTGCCCATGTTGCTAAGTCCATTTCATGTCTGCAGATTATTATGATACGAAGTTGAAGACACTGAGTTTGATGAGTCTCATGTGGAGAGGCATTCTGCTCCATGTTACAATCTCCTACACTACAAGAGTTGGAAAAAGCTACTGTTTTGGACTACAATTCCCACGTGGTAAGTGGCTATGCTGGCTGGGGTATTATAGGAGTTAATGTTTATTTTTTTAAAAAAAAATACTCTCCCCCTGTCTGTACCCTCAGGACATTGGTGTAAGCACTGGTCATCTCCAGGATTGACTATTGCAATGCTCTCTCTGTGTGGCTCCTTTTGAACCTGACCAGGAGACTACAGTGGGTCCAGAATGCTGTGGCCAGATTGGTGACTGGTGTGAGCAAATTTGAGCATATCACTCCAGTTCTAGCTCATCTGCACTGGGCACACGTTGTGTCCTGAATCAGGTTGTGGGTTTTAAGTCTTACATATAAAGTGCTCCATGGCTTGGGACCATGTTACTTATCAGAGCATCTGACTCCAGTGTCTTCTGCCCAACCCATCAGATCCTCCCAGACTAGGCTTCTCCAGGTGGTCACCCCAAGGGGGACCCAAAGGTCTTCCTTTAGAGGAAGGTCTTCTCTGCAATTGTCCCATCTTTATGGCATCCGTTTCCAGAGGAGTTACACCTGGCTCCCTCCCTTTTGACATTTAGAAAAAAAAACTTAAGACCTTTCTTTTTAGGGAGCCCTTCTATACTGATTCAGGTGGAGATACATATATCTCAATAGTTTTTAAAAACTATTTTTATTTTTATTTTCATTTTTTTTCTAAATCTCCTGTCCTGCTACGTTGTGAACTATTTGTGTACCATCAGGTTTTTTCCCCTCTGTGTGTGTTTTTAATTGTCCTTCAATTTTATTTGTTAAATTGCCCAGAAAAGTAATTTTGTACTAATAGGGTGGTACAGACAGACAGACAGATAATGTGATAGCCAGGGTAATCTGGTGCAATGCTGAAATTAGGACTTCTTGAGTTTTTTTAAAAATTTAATTCATAGAATCATAGAATCACAGAATTGGAGGAGACCACAGGGGCCGTCGAGTCCAACCCCCTGCCATGCAGGGACTCCATCAAAACACTCCCAACAGATGGCCATCCAACCTCTGCTTAAAAACCTCCAAGGAAGGAGACTTCACCGCACTCTGAGGCAGCCTATTCCACTGCCAACCAGCTCTGACTGTCAGGAAGTTCCTCCTGAAATTCAGGTAGAATCTCTTTTCTTGTCATTTTAAACCATTGCTCCTTGTTCTAATGTCTGCAGCTGTGGAAACAAACCTGTCTCTTCCTTGACATGGCATCCCTTCAAATGTTTAAACATGGCTATCATGTCCCCTCTTAACCTTCTTTTTGTAAGGCTAAACACTCCCTAAACCGCTCCTCAAAGGACATGGCTTCCAGACCTTTGCCCATTTTGGTCGGCTTCCTTTGGACACATTCCAAGTTGTCAACATCCTTCTTGAATTGAGGTGCCCAGAACTGGACACAATACTCCAGGTGAGGTCTGACCAAAGCATAATAGAATGGTATTATCACTTTCCTTGATCTAGACCAGGGGTGTCCAACCTTTCACCTTCCCTGGGCCAAATTAGAAGATGAAAATTTGGTTTGGGCTGCACATAAATTTGGTTTGGGCCACATGGGGGGGCAGCCCTAGCCATCCTCCGCAGCCCCGCTCCAAGCGCGCTTACCGGCAGGTGCGATCTCAGACAGCAGAGGCTGCCAGCTTCGACTCCAGTGGCTTTATGGGGCTGGGAGGGGGTCCACCTATTGATGGGGACAGCGCAATGCAGTCACGCAGCCCCCCTGTCCCCTCCCCTCCCACTCCTTCCTTCCTTCCCTCTCTCCCCCTCTACTGTTGTGACATGCCCCAGGTGCATTCCAGCTGCAAGCGCCGACAGTGTAACTTGAAACTTTGGAATTTCTTTAAAAATAAAAAATTGCACCGGGCCGCATTATGAGCCAACCTGGGCCGCATGCGGCCCTCGGGCCGCAGGTTGGACAAGCCTGATCTAGACACTATACTCCTATTGATGCAACCAAGAATTGCATTGGCTTTCTTGGCAGCCGCATCACACTGCTGACTCGTGTTCAGTTTGTGGTCTACCAAGACTCCTAGATCCCTTTCACAGGTACTGTTGTCTAGCCAGGTGTCTTCCATCCTATACCTGTGCAGTTCATTTTTTCTTACATTTCTCCCTGATGAAATTCATTGTGTTAGTTTTAGCCCAGGACTCTGATCTGTCAAGGACATTTTGAATTTTAATCCTGCCCTCTGGGGAATTAGCAATCTCTCCCAATTTGGTATCATCTACAGATTTAATCAGCATTCTCTCTGTTTCTTCATCCAAGTCATTGATAAATATGTTGAATAGCACAGGGACCAGAAGAGGACCCTGAGGCACCCCACTAGCTACTTCTCTCCAGGATGAAGAGAAGCCCTTTCGGTTTGGTTAGTCAACCAATTACAAATTCACCAAACAGTAGCACTCTCTCCCAATTTGGTATCATCTACAGATTTAATCAGCATTCTCTCTGTTTCTTCATCCAAGTCATTGATAAATATGTTGAATAGCACAGGGACCAGAAGAGGACCCTGAGGCACCCCACTAGCTACTTCTCTCCAGGATGAAGAGAAGCCCTTTCGGTTTGGTTAGTCAACCAATTACAAATTCACCAAACAGTAGCACTGTCAAGCCCACATATTGCTAGCTTCCTTGCAAGAATATCATGGGAAATTTTGTAAAAGGCCTTACTGAAATCAAGACATGCTACATCCACAGAGTTCCCTTCATCTATCAAGCCTGTAACTCTATCAAAAAAAGAGATCAGATTAGTCTGGCATGACTTGTTTTTGAGAAACCCATGTTGATTTTTAGTGATGACAGCATTGCTTTCTAAGTAATAACAAACAACAAAATTCATTTTATGATGTACAAAATCATAGTGGGATCACCTTCAAGCAATGATCTGATTTATCCAAGGGCAATGAACCAATAGGCATGGTTCTTAAGGAAGGAATTACAAACGGGGTCAATAATCACTAGTGTGGAAAAATCAAACACAAGCTGAGTCCTGGAATAAGAGGCCAAAAAGCCACATTAGGATGAAACTCTTGCTTCCAAGGTTGCCTATGTGAAGGCTAGAGAGGTACAGAGCTCTTTTCTTAAGTTTTGTTATACTTCTACAGCTCAGAGTGTTTCCTACTCTGTAAAGCCAAATAAACGTGTGCCTTCAACAGCTGGGGAGAGAGAAGGGGCAAAAATAGCTGGACGTCACCAAAATGCTTGCTCAGCTCAGATAAGAGTTATAAATTCAAAATGTATCTGACTGTATACCAAACCAAATAGTATATGTCTAGCCTAGTTCTTTGTGCTGATCAAGTTGCCCATTCTTAAGCAAATGCATATTTCCTCTTAAAATGTTTTTCATGTATGTATGTGAATCTTTAGGAGATACGATCCTGAGAAATCAGATCTGCAGATGAAGTCAGGGTTATAACAAAACAAAATCAGGTTAATTTGACCACCACAAATTGAGGCAAGTTCATGTTAGACCAGACAGTCTTGTCCTCTTAAGAGACCACCACTTCTAATGGTATGTCAGCCATACTATCTGGTTCAGCCCTGAAGTACAGCCACTTTGTCTCTGATGGAGTGTTTGTTCTAGATCAGAAGGAAGTGCTGGCTTGCATTGTTCTGTATAGAGAAACCAGGGATTTAAAAAAAATTAAATAAGTTTACCATTACAAATTTCAGTGGGTGGAAAAATCAAGGTAGCCTATCAAAACTAAGGGCATTAAAAGGATATACAAGAACATTCTTTTTGTTGTTTAATATATGTGACTAAATATATTTGCAAAACTTTCATAAAGGTAAGGAAGATTTTCTGGGGTAGAATAGAGGGAAAATACCACACACAATATACTGTTGGGGGAGGCTACAGATTTAAATATACTGACACGTTTGCTTTAACTTGTGATGCAGATCTCAGTAGGTGAACACCCCATCATAGCCAGTCAAGTTTTGTCATAGTAGCTACGGCTTGGCTGCAAAATGTTAGTCCTGAGGGAGCCATGTAATACTGACTCAGGGTCAGGGGTAAATGCAAAGATGCATGTAAGAACATGTGCTATGACAAGCGGAGACTTCTCTCCCCCTCCAGAAAGGAAAGTGCAATAAGGATTTCTGAGGGAAAGCCTTCTTTCCACTCATCATCCTAGCTGCGGCATATTCACAGTCGTATGGTGAAAGAAAAAATCTGAAGAGAAGCCATAACCATGATTGGCTGAATGTGGAACTGCTGCATTTTGGGGGGGAAGATCACCTATAAAAACAGCTTCCTGCTTCCCTGTATTCCATCTCTACTCCTTTGATCTTTTTCTTTGCCTTCCTCGTAAACCACCTGACCCTTTCACACCTTCACACTCACTCATTTCCTCCTCAGTGCTCAATCTTGCTTTCATCTTTCCTTTCCTTTGTTCATAATCCCTCCAGTTCCTCTTCCTTTCCATTTAAGATGTACAGGAAAGTATTCTGCTGCTTGAGAAAAGCCCAGGAGCAAGAAAATGTCATATTTTATATTATTGTCCATTTCCAGCTAGCAGCAGTGTTAAAGTCTCTCCTTTCCCCCCTTCCTTCTCTAGAACATACCAACACAGCAGTATTTTTCCAACTTATGGTGACATGTTTTGGCTCCAGAAACAATGGAAAAAAACATTTTAAAAAGCAGAGAAATAGCTAACTACACAGAAACCACTGGCAATGTAGCCATTTCAAGTCATTTATTTTAAAAAATGCCTTAAAAGATCATGTTGGTGAAACATGTGAACATGTATTTGCCATGGTACTCAAATTTCTTCTATACGATATTTGGCTTTGTTGTCCAGTGATATGGACAATAAATTGAAGAGCCTCATGGCGCAGTGATTAAACTAGATATTTGGCTTTGTTGTCCAGTCATATGGACAATAAGTTGAAGAGCCTCATGGTGCAGTGATTAAACTGCTTTAAAGGTAAAGGTTCCCCTTGACATTTTCAGTCCTGTCGTTTCTGACTCTAGAGGGCGGCGCTCATCCCGCTTTTCAAGCCATAGAGCCAGCTCCTGTTCGAAAACAGTTTTCCGTTGTCACGTGGCCAGCGTGACTAAGGACCGCCGTTTTATCTTCCCACCGAGATGGTACCTATTTATCTACTCGCATTTACATGCTTTCGAACTGCTAGGTTGGCGAGGAGCTGGGACAAAGCAATGGGAGCTCACTCCGTTGTGTGGATTTGATCTTACGACTGCTGGTCTTCTGACCTTGCAGCACAGAGGCTTCTGCGGTTTAGCCCACAGCGCTACCACGTCCCTCTGCAGCCAAAACTGTGCTCACAACCCGGGGTTCAATCCCAGGTAGCTGGCTCAAGGTTGACTCAGCCTTCTATCCTTCTGAGGTCAGTAAAATGAGTACCCAGCTTGCTGGGGGGGGCAATGTGTAGGCTGTATAATTAACTTGTAAACTGCCCAGAGAGTGCTTGAAGCACTATGGGGCGGTATATAAGCAGCACATTTTTTATTTTCCTTTAAGGAAGACTAGCTTGCTGCCCCATCTACCCCTTTAAAGAGAAATAAAATTATTATTTCTTTCTCTGATATGAAGTAAGAATAATTTTATTTTCCTTTAAAGAAGCAGATGGAGCAGCAAGCTAGTTTGTGCAACTCCCCAATGTTGCAAACATATAATGAACTGACATTATTGTGTTACCTTCTGCGATATGACTTAGCACAGAGGAAGAAATAATGGAGAATAATTGCACCTCAGGGCTTTGTGCCCTTAGAACAGTTGGCTTAACAATTTTCCTTGCGCCCCCTCTCTTTCTGTCTATAGGTGCAGAAAGCCTTAAAAACAGTACGTTCTTATTAGAGCTTTTATGATCGGATCACAGCACAGATTATTCACATTTTCAGGAAGGGAAAGGTTAAGCTGCTCTCCCTGCTATAAAAGGAGATCCCTGCAGATCACAACAGAGCTGAAGATCAAGCATCCCTTGCCTCTTCTTTTGAAGGATTTTAATGTCTCTGGAACTTATTCTCAGCACCCTTGGTCCAGAAAGGAGGCACCTTTGGTTCAGGTATATGCGTACTAAATAGGAAGTAAAACTAGACCTGAACAAAAAATATATATTTTTGTAGGCAGCCATGTGATGTTGCACAGCTTGAATTAAAATCTGAGCCAAAGAAGACTCTCCTCATAGATGAGGCCATTACAGCTCTAAGTGACATCTGTAATTTTCTCTGCCCTTCACCTGACCTTTTCCTGCATCCATAGACTGTTCCCACCTCCTGCTTGCAGGATTACCATTTCAGGTTTTAATAGCAGCCCATTTTCTGGAGTGCGGAAAACACAATTCAGTCCAAGTCGGCTTTTGGATATATGCCAAACTAAAATCGGTGTGTTATAATAACATTTCTCAGGGCTGCCTCTCAAAGGCCATCGTCGTTCTAAAGACTGACCCAACATGTAGAGCAACATCATTATTGCCCAGTAGTCTGCAGCTCAAATTAGTGTTAAAGGGAAAAGGAAGAAAAGGGCAAGCAAAAACAAAAAAGTCCCCATGTAATGGCTGGAGAGGGATGTTCCTGAGAAACAGTGAGATGTGGTGTCATCCACAAGGAATGGACAAATATTACCTCACTACCCTGTTTGTTCTGTTGATTTGATCTGCAGCTTAACCAGGTAGTCTTAGGATAGAAGCAAGATTCCAGCAACCATTTGGTAGCTGCTTAAATTCTCGTTCATTTTGTAGCTTGTTAAAATGTCAATGATGGTATGAGCACAGATGTGTAGGAGGTCCCATCTCAGCTTTTTAGTGATTCCAGCTATACCATGCCCTGTTCGCTCCTGCTCCAAGTTGCTGCTAGCAGGTAGGAACATCGAGTTCATTGTCTCATTAGAGGTACCTTCTCATCTTCATTTCATTCTTACTTTCTTTAACATGAGTCTGTAGGCATTTGTTTCTGGTTTAATCCTGGAAGATCACATACAGAAAAACTAGCCACACCTGCTGTTGTGTCTGTCGTAAGCCCAGAGTGCTTTTGCATAAGCTGAAACCCCTTTACTTTGGAAGCTGAAGCTTGAACGGAGGGCTGGGCTTGCAAACACCTCCACCACCACCCCCCAACACAACGGCTGTTCTGGCCCAAGCAGACCTCTAAAAAGGGAAGCAGCAGTATTTGTTTCTCTTCTTAGATGTTCTTTGCCCCCTCCTACCCTGCAGCTTCCTGTTGAATTGGAGTGATAAATAACAAAGTTCGGAGAAGAAGTGTGATGTGTGCTGTCCCTTATTCAGCACCTGCCTCCTCTCTATTATTTTTGGAGAACAATTATTCATTAACACAGGCCCAGCATGATAAATAGCTACTGAATGTAGAAAGCCAAACAAAAGTGAGTGAAACTCCTCGAGATGTGGAACAGTAGTATTTGGAACTGTGATATACTGAATATTTGTCTGATACATTTGTTGTAAAAAGCTTGATGGAAAAATATGTTTGGCAAACCTATGATGCTATTTAAACTACTTCTTTACCAAGTACATGCTTTTTAAAACATTCATTCACTCATTCATTCATTCATTGTTTGTCTGATTATCGGCCTTGGACCCTCTCAACTTATGATGAGAGTATCTGAGGGATGAAGAGAGAACATTTTCTTTCCAGTGAAATCATCTTTTCTATTTCAAATGGGGTGTTAAAGGCACAATAGTTAAGAAGCTTTTGCTGCTTTCCTTGCAGTAATCCCTGGAATGGATTCTACAGCAAGAAAACAGGTCCTTTTCTCTGTTCATTGCACAGTTCTCTAATGAAAGAGAATGAATAGAGAGATAACATTCAGATGTCATATCAGCAATGGGTGAAAAAGGTTTATCTCACCTGCTTAGCATAATGTACAATCTCTGTGTGGTTTTTCGAATGACTTCCCTTCACTTACAGTGCGGCATAATTATTTTCGTTGGCAGTTTTGCTCATACCCTTCTGTCAAACAGATCTTAGATTTAGATCTGGGTTATCTGCACTAAAATCCATTCTGTATCTCATTCGTTCTTCATCCTTTAAAGAAGGTCCTCTTCATCTGAAGGTTACTGCTTGAACCATCTGTTGTTTATTCTTGAAAAAGAATCCAGGGAGACAACATATTTACTGACACGAAACTTTCTGAGAATGTAGAAAGGAAGAAAAAGAACTTTTGCTGATAGGGCCTGATTTAGTCCCTTTCACAACCTCCTTCTTGTTCACATTTATTTCCTTTCTCCTTCAGTAGGGCACTGTTTGATCTTCTAATGGCTAAGAATTTGAGCTGTAGCCTGGGAAGCCCTGCTTCAAATCTTCCCTGGGCCATAAACTCAATGGGTGGCCTTAGACAAGATAATAACTACTGCATTTTCACACACATACAGGCTCACTCCAATTTACAATGTAATAATTACAATAGGCAAGGCCTCTTATAGAGGTTCTAAGCCAAATTCATAGAGGGCCTCAAATTTAAACAATATCATGATGTTTGTAATCCATTTCCAGCATTTCCTCCCCTTTTTAATATGTTAGGTCCCTCAAAATAATGAAGTGGTCTGGGTTCTTTTGACTTGGGGGGGGCTGTGTTCATTCATTCTTTTTTCCTCAGTTTTCACAGAAACAAAGGCAAATCTCTCTTAAAAGGAATTGCTCAGTGAAAAGTCTGTCTCCTCCCACCACTCAATAGTTCAGCCTGTTGAGTGCAAAACCACTGGGATGATTGATAAACAAGGAGAGTACTAACGACCTCTTTTGTGTCCTTCAATCATATATACTGATTAAGGAAAGGAAGCAAGATCTATATACTTCATTCCCTTGTCACTAGCCATTGCTTTATTTATTTGAGACATTTATATCCTGCCATCTGACTTTTAAAAGTCCTTAAGGTAGTTGACGGAACAATGACACATAACACCTAATACGTTTTGCACTACCTGGCTTTGGCTGCATTTATTTTCCAGGGTAGTGAGGTGGACGTTTATTTGTATAGCTTGAGAACAAACTGGTGTGGATACCTTGTCACTTATTCTTCAAATTTTATTAATACATCTCCGTGGACTTAAGGTGCCCTTTGCAAAGTATGCCTTTATGTTCCATCACCACACAATTCTCCACTATGGGTCTTGTGACCATGTCTATTCAAATAAGAGTGTAGAGTCAGACCAAGTTTTCTCCCACTCCATCCAGCGATCAGATCCTGCCAAAGATGCTGTGCTGCCTGAGGCAGGCAGGACTGGCACTTCAATCTCACTTCAACAGAATAGTGACCTCTACTTCATCTGAGAGCAGCAGGCTTACTTAGAGGGGGCAAGGGCAAGGTGTGTGGAAAACCCAGCTGTTTTACAATGGACCTGAACAGTCTGTGGAGCTCAGAAGGGTGGTTATGGTCACAGACACAGACACAGACACAGACACAGACACACACACACACACACACACACAAGTGGCTGTTTCCTGAGGTAGCCACCAACATAGCTGGCCACCATATCTGTAAAGGCAGCCACCTGCAGCGTGATACCATTGCAGTTATTTGTAGCTTAAATGTAAGATAGGAGAGTTAGTGTCCAGCAGAGAAAAGGTTGCCCGCTAAGAGAGCGGCTTTGCAAACTCTCAGCATAGCTGCTTCTCTTTCATTCACACTCTCTGAATATACACAGTAACAGAGTGGGCAGGTACAGTATTTTTATCTAGTAGATGGATTTTTTTTTATCCAGTGGAAGTGGGGCAGGGAAAAAGGAGAATTATAGCCTGAAAAATGATGAGCAGAAACACCAAAGAAGAAAGAGCAATGCAAGAAAAAGATAGCCTAGCTATTGTCAAGTATTTCTTGGGGTGTGCTGAAGAAAACAGGGGTACAACCAACCTCCAAGGTCCTCACAGAGAAGAAAAACATGAGACAACACCTTCTTCTTCAAAGCTTATATTACATATGTACAGTCTGCGAGCAACCACGGCGCTCGAAAGCACACATGAAAGCCTGGACAGAGAGTAATCAGGAGTTTGCACACGCTAAAATAGGCTGAGGGAATCCTGGAGCTCAGCTAGCCGCGCTACAACTCTCTGTCTTACAAGTCTGCCCACTTCATAACACCCTTGTACTCTCAGATATCACTGTGAGAAGATCAGGTGGGCTTTGTAGTCCTTACACTTAACTTGCCCCACAGGCAGGACTCCTTAAGTATGCTAGGTCGAGGCAGCACTCTCAGATGACCCTAAGACAAGTCTTACTGTTCAGGAAACCAATTGATTTTTATAATCATTATTTTATTAAA